TTAACCCAGTGCTGGGTTATATTTAACCCAGTATTTTTTAGAGTGCACTCTAGATAAAGAGACATCTTAACCCCACAGCCAAAAAAATGGAGAGGATTCTCAAAGCTTTGAGGACTGATGTCCTGTACGTGTCCTTGTGTGGGAGCTAAATTCTCCATGACGTCAAAGGAAACCTTTCCCTTTCTGAACAGTGTGTCAGTGAGCTTTGCTGTCAGGGGTCCATTTGTTGAGGCTCACTGTGTCTCATATCTACAGCACACATGGATATAACACAGGCATCAGATGCCCTCCTGCTGTGATTATACATGCATGCACACACTGCTTCTTAAGTGTCCAAGTGATCGTACATGTCTTTATTTAAGAGGTTTATCCTGGTAACTTTGTGTTGTATGTTCTAAATGCTGTTGTTCTCTCTCTAGGCATGTGGTCCCATACTATGACAGTGCAGGACTACCAAGATCTCATCGACAGAGGCTGGAGAAGGTGCTGATGTATCTTATTGTCTGACCTCTGAACTGCGTGTTTCATAATATAGTCTTCTGACTCTAAATCATGTGCCAAATAAATAGGCTTCCTTGCATAATGTCTTAGCAGGAAACACTTTTACACATGAACAGGATGCAGTAGTCTAGTCAGTGTAATGAGCTTAACACAGTGACCAAATCAGACATACTCCCTGAGCCGTACCTCTTACAACAAGACAAATGGGTTTTTGTGCACTTGACAGGCACACTGCCTGAGTTTCTCGAGAAATGTGATTCAAGTCAACACAAATCTCCATTTTAGACCCTTTTTTCAAGATCAACTTGAGGGAATGTATATATTCAGCAAGAAAACAATGTTCATTTATCAGACACTTTTTTTCAAAGTGACTTGCAAATGAGTTTATCATAGAGCCAACAATTTTTATAGTGTACAATGCCAGGGGTAATTGAAACAAATTTATGAATTATCATTTATATAAAATATATGTTCATTTTTAATAAATTATGATTTATTACAAGAAGAACTATGAATTTGAATGTTAATTAGTAGTGAGCCCTACATAAATGGCCGGCTTTTATTCATCATTAATTATTGTTTTGTGCATGCCTAAATTTGAATTTTATTCTATTTAAATTAAATTGATCTCCTTTTTTTTTTTTTTTCTTAGAAGTGGCAAATATGTTTACAAGCCGTTAATGAATAAGACATGCTGCCCACAGTACACCATCAGGTAAATGATTCAAATGTTTTTTTTATTCTTTTACTATATACAATAGGATACTCTGTGGTATATTAAAATTAATGTTATAGTTAAATGTATTAAGTGACTATTGAGTAATCGTTTTAACTGTATATATTACAGCTCATAAATGCTAAAAAAAACAATGCAGCATGTCAAATATGTTGTGTCCTTTTCACTTTCTTCATATATTAATATGTTGTTGTACTTGTTTTATGAAGGTGCCATGCTTTGAACTTCCATCCGTCGAAGACTCACAAAAAGACCTTGAAGAAGGTGAACAGGTTCCTCTCCAAAGGAGAGATGCCAGTAGAGAGGCATGATGAGGGACTTGAAGGTGAGCGCCATTTACTGGATATCAGCTGCCGGGGGCAATTTAGGTCCAACATTCACTAAGAAATATCATAAACCACACGCAGTTCTAATGAAGCTGGATGCTATGTTGGATGTTTATTTTGTCTGTGTTTTGGGAACTAATTTAAAAAAGCTCTTTCTAAAGGCTTGTTCACACTGGGACGAATATCGTGCACGATTATCGCCGACGTTTAACGCCTCGTGACTAAACAAAGGGCGCCAATGTGAGTGTGCACACCGACGCACAAAACGCGAGGCGTAAAAGCGTAATTTTTTTTAAAAACTCCTTGGGCTCATTTTTTTGGTTTGGCGCGCCGCTTTAAAAACTGGCCGACCAATGAGATTGGCGCTTTTGTTCACATGCCTGGAGCTGCTGAAGTTACAGTAAAACACGACTTGGTGGCGCTCAAGCACAAAACGGTCTTGCCGAGCACACATTGATACCTAACGACAAAGAGGAAAAGTAAGTAGACCAAGAAGATGCATCGAGGCAAGATGAATGTAGAGCTGCTGGTCTCATTGGTGTCTGAACACAAAGGGCTTTATGACAAACGCGACAGAACACAAAACACGTGTCGAAAAACGTCTGCGATAATCGTCCCGGTGTGTACGAGGCTTAACATTGACAGAAAATAGCATAAAACGTGTGTTTGCATGCCTTCCACAAACCGAAGAGGCCACATTATTTACTTTTGAGCTTGAGCTGACCAATAAATTACAGCTTTTGCTGATATTCACTATTTATCTTAAGTTATGAATTAGCTCTGATATGGCTTGAAATGATGATTTATTTTTCCAATAGAGGATTCATAATTTCAGCATTGAAAGCAGATACAAAATGAGAACACAAGAATACTGAATCATTTTCATTTACTGTGTATATGCAGCCGTATAACAATACATGCAGTATTTTTACTGAAACATTTTAATATATGAAAAATGCAACCTAATGACTTCCATGAACCTTTCTGGGTGACGACACAAACAAATCATTGAATCAGTTTGGAAACAATTCAAAGAAATTGACCGTTTGAATTGCCTGAAGGAATCAAACTTACCAACTCTAACGCTGTCTTTGCTGCTGAACACCCCATTGAAATGGCTCATGTTTTCACAGTGTCACTTAATTTTACATTGGCAACAAATCATATCTGGTTACATATGATTCAGTATATTGCCCAGTTACACAATTTGAGCCAGTGTGTAAAGAGTTGCATCCCCAAGCCAGTGTTTTCTACAGGTATAGCCTCTGTCTGTTGTCTTATATCTTGTGGTCTGGTCTGATTCGGTTTGTCATCCCAGGTTTGATAGAAGATATCAAAGGTCGTCTAAAGCCTCTCTCTTCCATACTTCAGAGGACAGTGGCTATAGCTGCAGGAAAAACCCAGTCGTTTTTGTCAGGTGTGCTTTCTGTGCTGTGGACCAGACATTAACCAGACGTCATCCAGGAATCAAGTGTTATCTCGCGCCTATATCACAGTTTTTTTTCTCTTTTTCTCCATATTTTGTGTTTTCTGTGCATGATTTGTGCGGTGTTGTGAAGCACAAGTTTTGTTAGGGTTCATGAAGTGAAATTGTGCTTGCGACTACAGTCCCTTCCCGATCGAGACCCATTTCATTCCATTTTAGACATGCAAATTCTAAAAGATTCTTCACACAAAGTCTGAGTGTGTACGTAAATCCAACCAGTTGTGGTTTTCTTTTCAAATGGCTTTCATAATTTGATGGTTCCAAGTAGCGGTGCGAGTTGAATGAATCCCTGTAGTAGACCGCATGAGAGTCATTGTGATGATGGTTATCTTAAATGTGCATGTGTTGGTTCTTTAGGAGAGCCCATGGACTCTGCGCATGAAGCGGGTGTTCAACCACCTCGTCAAGACCTTCTGAAAATAGACCATAGTGAAGTACAGGATATCAGCACCAGCCCAGACACAGACACCACCAACTCAACTGCACCAATAACGCCCAGAGAAGACGCAGTGCCCGCCCCAGCAGAGAAAACTCCTAATGTTACACCCAAATCCGGTCAGTCTCATAGAATGTGCATCTTTAACATGTCAGTATTTACACAATGAGCTTTTTTAGTTACAGTTATTTGATCGATTCAGCCAGTGAGTCATTGGACTGATTCACCAATAACTAATAAGTTTGAGACAGATTTTTGAGTGTTTTTGACCAATTTATTAAAAAGAATTGGTTCATCAGAGTAAATTAGATGTGAATCACAATGGAAATGCATTACTGTTGTGTGCAACCAATGAGGACATCACAACAGAAAGATGGGTAGTGTTGATAGTTTATATTATTTTGCAGTTCCCACACTCTAAAACGTGCTGGGTTAAAAATAACAATTTCTGAGTAAATCAAAGAGTGCGTCTCAATCAGCTCACTAGTTCAGTAGTCAGGGCACTGATAAGGGAGACTGCCATTTTAAGGGAGATTCACAAGCTCGGGAGCTGATTGAGACACACCCAAAGTTCCTTGAAGACAAGTCATTTCACTTGGAGGCCGTCTTTGAAATGCCTCTCGGGCATGCAAGTGCAGCTCCTATCTTTCTGAATGGGGAAACATCAAATTCCCTAAAACTGTTCACCAGTTAAATCTTACAACAACTGCCTCATAAATGTTGTTTCTTATGCTCCAATAGCTTTTAAAAAAAAAAAGCTTATTTTTTCAGGCTTGACAGGCCAATGCGCATGTGCAGTCCTAGGGTGCGACTTTTTTTTTGAGAAGGCGTATTTTGACTTAATAGGAGTGCACCATCTTTGGTATATCTAAAGTCTTTGAGTCGTGCATTCATTTGGCGGGAGGTGAAACTTCCATGGTGGCACCGGAGTGGCGCTCGCTTTTAGTGTAGATCCAGTGTAGGCTAGCATTCCAAGCAGACGTTAGCTGCGACGCACATGTAAACAAAGTGTTAAGTTACAATCGTTTTCCTATTTATACAGTAATAATTTGACAGGAATACAATGTAATGCAAACCTTAATTTCATTCAGGAAGTTTCCCGTCACTCAGTCAGGTTTTCTCTCAGAACAGAACACATGACTGTTGACAAACATTGGGTTACACTGACCCAGCGCTGGGTAGGTGTGTGAGGGGGTTCATCATTGGTATTGACAGTGAAAATGCAGCTAAATTACAGAAAACCTACCCAGCACCTGGGTAAAAATATAAAAAAATAACCCAAGAATTTGGATTTTAAAAATTACGCAGTCTTTTTTTAGAGTGCATTATGTCTTTCTCATCACATTCAGTTCAGACTGCAAACTCAAAGATTCCTGCATGCTGAAGGTTTTTAGCCTTGGTGTTGTAGAATCAGTTGCAGCAATGGAAACATTGTCAGAAAATTGTAGCACATTGATCTGTACATTGATTCAGAGGCTAAAGAACCATCAAGGCAGTGGTTCTTAAATCTTTGTTTGTCCACATTGTCCACAACAGTATTTGAAGACCCAAAGACTTCCAGTTATGTTATTGACAGTGGGGGGCTTTAGAGTATCTAAGTAGATAGAGTATTTTATCTACTTGATAAAATGTTATAGAGCTTGGTCTCATTTGTATATTCATGATAAAATGCCCTTGGAGTCATAAGATTATTATAAGGTCTAGAAATCACACTGAAATTGAGACTTCATAATTTCAGCCTAATGTTATTAAAATCATCTGTGTCTTAAAATTGAACCAGTTTTGAGTAAGAACCAGTTGTCAATTCCTAACCGGACTGGTAACTGGAAGATGTTCCTCGGAGAAACACTAGAGGGCAGCATGTGTTCAGAGATAAATGTGGCATCTGATTTTTTTTTTGTCACATCATATCACTTTCCACGTCAAACAAAATTTCACTCTTTAGCTAAATTAAATTTCAATAGAAAATGTTTTCAGCTTTATCAAAAGTATCTAATGTGAGTCAACACCTTGCTTTCCTTTATAGTGCTTTGAGCCCAAACATGTAATAAATTCCCTGTAGACTTGAGGCACAAGGACCATACATCTCTGAATATGAAGTATAGACAAATTAAAAGTCCCATACATCTACAGGCCCCTGGAATGAGCACCCCTATAGAACGGTCTGGAAATGGGAAGGATTTAGAGGCTAACAAAAGGAGGAGAAAACTCTCTCTCCCTCTCCAAATGGAAACCCCTTGGTGACAAATTTATAAATGTCTTTTCTGTAACTTAATGCATCCTGAAATATATTAATTTATATTTCAAAACATTTGAACGGAAGCACATCTGTAGCACATGTGAGCAGCATTAATTATGATGAAACAGAAACATTAATGAATTATTTGACTGTCTGATGTAAGTTGATGGAATCATTTGTTCATTTGATTTAGTTTTCATACATTTATTAAATTTGTTTATGAACGCAACATGAGACTGTGTTTGAAACTCCTGTTACTTCAGTAATTTGGTGCATTTTTGAGTGAAACAGGACATTCAACAATCAAAAAATGGATGTGAGATAGGAATTGATCCATCTGGATTGTGAAAAGTTAAAGAAAGAGATTGAAAAATAATGAACGTATATTTTTTTAAAAGAGTATAATCTTGATAAATCTAGCACTAAAATACCAGGAATGTGTATAACAAAAGTAAATTTAGATTAAAGGGGTCATATGATGCGATTTCAGTTTTTCCTTTCTCTTTGGAGTGTTACAAGCTCTTGGTGCATAAAGAAGATCTGTAAAGTTGCAAAGACTAAAGTCTCAAATACAAAGAGATATTCTTTATAAAAGTTAAGAGTCAGCCACACCTACCTAAAACGACTCGTTCTAACACGCCCCTACATATCTACGTCACGATGTGGGAAGATTTGCATAACGCCGCCCAAATGTTCATGCAAAGAAAGAAGGCGTGACTTTTATTCTCGCTGTAGTATTGTTGTTTCCGCCGCCATGTCGTGAAGACTCTGTGTGTTTCGTTGTGAAAGCGAAACTACTTTGTTTGGCCTTCCAAAAGAGGACGATATCTGCTTCGTCATGCCTGGAGCTGATCCGTGCTGGTCGCTGAGGACATACATTAACTTCGTGCTGTCGATCGCCGGATCGGCTTTCACCGTGGACGAAGCGGAGTCCAGCTCGGGGTCGTCACATGTGGTTGCCGCAGGCATCACAGTATGGTAAGGGACGTAACATTTCCGTCTCACGCTTGAGGAATTTGGCCAATCACAACGCACTGGATAGCTGGCCAGTCAGAGCACACCTCGCTTTTCAGACCGATGAGCTTTGTAAAAACCTTAAACCGCATAAACACATTTCATTACACCAAATACACAAAATAATGTTCTTTTTAGCAGCATCATATGACCCCTTTAAAGTTTTTGTTGACTGAGTGCTTCAGCCTTGTGTGTCCAGTAAAGGCTGGTCCAGGTAGTAAAAGTGTTTCTCTTCTCCACGCCCCACTATTCCTCTTTCCATATGTTTTCCTCTCATAAAGGAGTGTGCCAGCTCTAATTCACCGATCCCTGACTCATCCCCGCACAGCATATATACCTTCCACTGTCCCCTCAGGGAGAAGAGTGTGTGTGTGTCGGCAGGAGTACATGCATCTGAAGGAATGTGTCTTTGAGTTTCTTCTGCATATACATTAGCATGCGTAACTGTATATGTGTGTCCATGAGTCCTCAAGGAAAGGCAGTTCTGGACTGTTTACGAACTGTTAACTGCTAGAGAGGGAGAATGTGTCTTCCGCAGGAACAGATCTGTCAGAGTTTATCTCTCCCTTGCACACAACCGCCCGCTCGCAACAGCATGTGTTTATTGCTAAAGGTCTGTGCGACCTCAGTACAATCCGGTCAGTGTTTCTAGTCAAATGTGATCATATTCAGTGTTTATAGGTCCGCATTTGACCGTGACCCATTTAATTAGTCTTCAAACAGTCTGAGCTGTGTTCCCACTTGATTTAATAGTAATTATACAAACATGCACACTATTATAAATATTGTAATAATTATAAACTATTAAAAGTATAATTAGAAACGATTATATATTATGAATTATATATAAATTTTTACTTACTATTCAAAATACGTTTAATTATTATTTTAGTTCCTCCCAACGTTTTATTCTTGTCTACCTAAGGATCTTTAAAAGGACGATAGATAATTCACTCACCGTCATTTCTTTCTTCGGTGGAGTACAAAAGAAGATATTTTGAGAAGTGTATCAGTGTTTTTTGTGCATACAATGGAAGTTAATGGGGTCCAGTGTTGTTTGAACCCCAAACATTCTTCAAAATATCTTAATTTTTGTGTCCCGCAGAAGAAAGTAAGTCATACATGTGGAACTGTCCCTTTAAAAAGATTTTCTGTGCTTAGTTGCCTTGCTTGTTGGAGTTTAAGGCGTGTTTTTTTTTTTTGTGTGTGTAGCGCTGTTTTGGAATCAGATGTATTGTGAAAAGTGCTATACTAATATTTTTAAGTGAGTTGAATTTCAAATGCGTCAATAACATAACACTGTCGTAACCGGGCGGAAAGTGTTAAAGTGACAAGTGATTAAAAATCCATTGCGAATTGTACTAGGGACCACAAACCCCTGTCAGCTATGTCAAGGAGTTTCTTAATGTGTGCTGAGTTGAGGAGTGTGCAGATGCATTCATATGATACTCTACTGTATTATAACCAGGCAGCACCACACCAGCTCCCAGTTAAACAGTGCGAGTAACAGAACGGAGGCTGTCTTTGTCCTGGATCTGGCCCAGCGTCTGCTCTAGCTCTCTCGCTCGTGTTTTCTCTGGTTTGGAGGAAAGCCATTCAACATCTCTATCATCCCTTTGCCGTATTTACAACCCTGGCCGGAAACATTCCCTCCTCTAAGTCAACTGGAGGTATTAACAGGAAAAGAGGGAAGAATGAATGTTAAGAAAGAGCTAATTGTCTCAATGACTCTAGCTCTTTGTCGGAGGAAGTCACAGAGCAGCGCTCGGAGGTCCTGTAGGAGGTCCCACGTCTCATGCGAAGCGTGTAAAGGCCAGATTTATTTGAGGAAAGTGTAAATAGTCTGTTATCGATGTGTTTTTAAAG